ACATGGTTCGGAGCCCCAGTCGAGTTGGTACGAGTCACCCGCAGTGACACCTAAGCAAAAGTACACACCTCATGGTGGCCCGTGGCCAACCTTTTTCCGCTAAATTTAAAGAAAACACTAAAAAAAAAAAAAAAGTTGAAATTGGCGTTTTGGAGCAGGCTGGCGCAGGGAAGTGAATTGGCGCAGGGTGGCGCAATTGGCGCAGCGCTTCCACCCCTGGAATATGTAAACACCTGTTGGTGTGGTGCACATGTAAACCTTTTTCTACAGAAATCTCTCTCGAAAGGAACACAGTTGCACCCGATTCAATGGTGTACGGCTACACCTCTTTCTACACCCAATGAAATTAAAGGGAACAGAGATGCACCCCCAATCGAAGGTGTACCATTGCACCACTTCATAAACCCGCCTCACTCAAAGGGAACAAAGATGCACCCCGTTCAATAGCGTACCATTGCTCTCCTTTCTACACTTACTGCCCTCAAAGGAAACACAGGAGCACCCCGTTTAATGGTGTACTGTTACACCTCTTTCTATACACACACTGAATTCGAAGGGAACACAGATGCACCCGATTCAAAGGTGCACCGTCACACCACTTTATGCACCCGCTTCATTACTAACTTCAAAAACATATTGAAGACATCGAGGAAACCCTTAAAAAATGTATGCTCCCCGGTCATTGCAAAGAGAAACGGACACACGGGATTGTTTTCAAATCTCCTAGAAGTTTATTAGACAGCCGATTCCGTAAACAAGTACAAACTTGCAAGCAATGCGTGATATGTAAAGAGGTACTATCGGGGAAAAATGAAATGCGAACAGAGGAGCGCGTGGCTCGCGGTTCAGGCTGCGCCGCCTGGAAGTGAGCCTAGGGGCGAGGGTGCGTGGCCTACTCCGACGTGTTCACGCCCCTCCCTCTGCGCTCCCCAAGCTTCAGCAGTACGCCTCTTAGTGCGCTGAAAGCTATCACCGCTATCTTTGCTGGCTCAGCGCGTGCGGTGCAAAGAAGCTCGCCGCACTCGCCGAGCAGGCAAAGATAGCGGTGACAGCTTTCAGCGCACTGAGAGGCGCACTACCGAAGCTGGGGGAGCGCCAATCGAGTGGCGTGAACACATCGAAGTAGGCCACGCACCCTCACCCCTAGGCTCACTTCCAGGCGGCGCAGCCTGTACCGCGAGCCACGCGCTCCTCTGTTCGCATTTCATTTTTCCCCGATAGTACAAAGAAGGTGTCACACAATTGAGAAGATTACTAAGCAAACAAGAACCGGGAGTGAGTCTTAGGTAGTGTCTATTCTCCCAGCAGCCGGCAGAATTATTTTCCCGAAATTCCACCCGCAGTCGCCACTCATTGATGGTACAATCACTTCATCGAACGACGTTTCATCGACACGCGATGTTTCAAAGACAGCTCAGATAAGCTTTCCTATATTAGCTTCTCTCTTCTTTTTTTTTTTTTCTTGTAATGAGCCGCCCCAGACTGTATCCGCGAAGTGACGTCTACGGGTGGGACAAGTGGACAAGTGGGTTAACATTTTTGTAATGAACCGCCGCAGACTGTCGCCACGAAGCACCGTGAACGGGTCGGCTGGGTCGGCGAGCACGCGCTTCAGAGATACACGCACGACGAAATGTCCCTACAGCGTGCATTTCGCGTAACGAGGGACGATGAAACGTTAGTGTCGACGAAACGTGTCTACAAAACGTGTATCAACGAAAGGTGTCCATGATGCATGTTTTCACAAAACGCCGGGAACATACTATTTAATACTGGCTTTCTGAGAAAGCCAGTATTCTACCTGCAGTAGTCACATGATTGTAGGCAGCTAATGGCAGGCGACTGCCGATGGAATTTCGGGGAAATTATTCTCCCGGGTGCTAGGAAATAGACACTGCGTAATTCCTAGGGTAATCCGGAACAGAACGGTCAATTGTTGCAAAGGAGTAGGTTGCAGCGCACTTACGATGAAAATACCGGACTTGAAATATGTAATCCGAGATATATGTCGACACGGGCACTGCAGAACAATCGCACAACGCAAAAGCGAAAAGAAAGTGGAAGATTCAACACGATGTGGCAGAAGCAGTAATTTGCCGAACCGAACACTAAACGCATCACATGAATCCCTTTGACTTTTTTGAAGAAATCGCTTGTTGCCGATATACGCGTCGGACTTCTAAAACACTGGAAGCCTTAGTACACTCGAATACGTTGTCGCGGACGAAATCTACAGCATTCCAGCTGGTCGCAGCGCAGCACACAAGAAACTAGGCCGGGAAGCAAATATTCCGGCACCGGAAAGAGCTACTACGTCATCCGTGAAACCTTTACCACATGACCACGCTCCTGCCATTACCCGCGCCCAGACAGCGGAGTCAAAGGATAAAAAAAGCCCCCGGTTCATTGTTCCCGCGAGGGAGCACCTTCTTCCACGCTTTCAGCTTAGGGAGAGAAAGAAAAAGAGAGGAGTAGGAAAATAGCAGCTCCTTCAAGGCCAAAATGGGGGGTGCCCTCGCAAAGGTTTATTTTCAGGGGCATCCCAACAATGAACACGACGAGAGGATTTGTCACTTTTATCCTCTTAAAGGTTCGACCCAAAGTTAGTAGTGCAGTGGATGCTATCCGTGGCCTTGGCCTTCAGGCAGGTGCCGTGCTCTGCCTTATCTCTAGCTTGGAGACTGTAGTCACGTGATCCTACCCGGAGACCCGATTGGCCTAAAACAAGCATAGCGTCTACTTTACTGTCAATACCGAGTGAGCAGGACAGCTCCATACTTCCTAAGAAACTGCCCAACCCAAAAGTGACCCCAAGGAAGAGTCCGTTTCACCTTCCGTCCGAGCACAGCGAACGCTAGGAGCCATCCCAGCCAATGCGACGTTGAGGGAGTGTCATGCGACCTTGAGCTCCCTGTGTGGCCCCGCCCCACCGGCAGGTCACGCGGCTTTCTCCCGGCGCTGGATCGGCTGGGATGGCTCGTGGCGTCCACTGCGCTCGGACTGAAGGTGAAACGGAGTATAGTTGATCGGGGCGCGTGGCGTGGCGGTGCACTGATAGACCTGGAGGTTTTTAAGGGGGAGGAGGATGCTCATTGGTCGGTGTACAAGTGCACTTTCTGGGTAACGGAGGGAGCATCTTTCAGGAAAAGGGTGCATGTGCGCCTGATGTACCCGACTTTAAACCACAGGGCATCCTATGGTTTGAAAACCGCTGGCTTCGCTGCGTTTCCGCAGGAGTTAAGCCTTTTTCTTTTTTTCTTTTTTCCTCAGGTAAGTTCGCTCTTCGCGAATTTTATAGAAAAAATGCACCACCTATGGCAAACGCTATACAAAATTAGAACGCGATAGGTTAAGAAAACGATTTTTGCGGTCGATTTAAAGAGCCTGGCCGCTATCTGGGATACAAGGTACATAGAGTGAATCCGTCTGAAATCGTCTACCAGGTTTCACCCTTGTCACCGCACTGCCAGCACTGCCAGTATATCTTAGGACTGCAACCTCTAATGCACCGCCGCAAAATCCTTTGTCGTGTCCTTTTTCTAAAACGTTCCATCTAAACACTCCACTTGCTCGTAAATTAAAGACTCCACCATCCTACTGCTCGCATTGATCATAGTCAGGGGGTCGGTATTTATGATGTTAAGACGTCATCTTTAGAGTGGTATTTTGTAACGGATCAATGGACCTTTTCCGAGAAGCGTTCTGCGCACGCGCAAGCGCCCGATGCCAAGCGGCGGAAGTCGGAACGAAAAATCGAGGAAATTCGGAAGGAGGCTGTATATCAGCGAGTAGAACACGTAACTGCAGCATATATATAATTGTGTTACACAAAAAAAGAACGTCGACGGAAAGGAAAGCACGACGTTTGGGTGGACGCCACGGATGCCCCTCTTTAAAGTCGCGTTGGGCATGGCGCCGCTGCTCAGAGACCGAAGAAATTGATAGCGTAGCTCCCATTATCGATTGGTAGCGCAGGTAGGTCACTTCCTCGATTTTTAGTTCGTGCAGCCACCGCCTGGTGCCGTCGGTATGTGAAAAAGGTCCATTGGGACCGCTTCCCTGCTTCGATCGCAAACACTAATTTTTCGTTTAAGGATGTTCTTGCTAATAACTGCACGGTGGTAATTGTTTTTCCATTTCCACATGCACTTTACTCAGTTACCACGGGCACATTACTCTTCAATATATTACCTCGAGGGTGTTTTAAATAAATAAACGACTCTCTTGGAGTGCTTCGCGCTCACCCGCACTCCTAGAAGACTGCAACACAACAGTCTCATGGGCTACAGCACCGCCTAGCGGCATAACCAGAAATTTCTATCCGTGTATATTTTACTTTTCAGGTGGTCCGAGGGAATAAGCTGGAAGAGAAAACAATATTCGCTCTTTTTTCCTATTAAACCTACATAAAAACGACGTGCAGAATACTCCACCCAGTTGACTGCTATAAAGACATTTTAATACATAACTGACACAAGAAATTACAAAAATTAGAATTATACTATTTTTCATTATAGCATTGACCGGAAGGATAAAGGTGCTGGCGCAGCTTCACGTGAACCACAGCAACAAAGAAAGAATGTCGTGCAGGAGTGGTGGACTGCCAGGAAAGTGTGACCTCACTACGCAGTTTCTTCCCAAGGGTCCTTTCGAGACACATTTTCACGACACGCGGCAAATGCTAATGCGTTGTTCACATTTGCCGCGTGTCCGGAAAGGAGTGACATTATGAAGTTGAACGATATAAAGTCTATAAACCGGCCTCCTTTCCTTGATAATCATTTCGATGTATGAACAGAATGGAACCGGGCTCTTCCTGAAACACTCAGGATATCCAATTTTATGTTTTGAGTGTGTGCGAGAAAGAAGAAGAAACAGAAAGACAAAATTTCCTCCACGCTCAAACCGAAAGTTGCGTCCTCTCCTCCTCACAACGACCTTCTCCTTTCAGTGGTCTACCACGACGAGTGTCCCAAGAACAAAAAAGGGCAATTGAAACATTTCCAGAGATCTCCAACTTTTATTCACATTCTAGTTGACAGCCATTCTCATACAGGTCCTGGTGCAAATCTCGCAGCAGCGAACTCCCGTGGGGCGAGTTGGCTCCGTGTGTGCACCGACTTCATGGAAGGCGTCGTCTCATTCCGGGGACGAGGCCAACGAGGCCTCTTCCGCTATGCAGAGCATTCTCCCGTCCCAAGCAGAGTCCCAGGGGCAACACCATTTCTTGCGGCGCACCTGCCCGAGACGTCGAGGGGACTCTCCTCCGGGGAGCGTCTCTCAACGGCTCCTCAGTGGTGGCCTCCGAAGCCTCCGTACCTGGCGTAGGCCGGGACGGCGTAGGCGGCCGCCGCGGTCGGCCCGGTGACCACGGGGTTGGCGTTGAAGACGGCGTCGGCGCTCTGGCCGGCTTCGGTGCCCGGCTCGTTAGTCTCCACGGTGGCCCGGAAGCCCCCGGCGTCGGCCACGTAGTTGACGCGCCGGAACAGGCCGTTGGCGTCCGAGTAGCCGTACGTGCCGGTCTTGGTGTTGCTGGCGTCGCCCTGCTCCTTGTGGAACTGCTTGGTGCCGTACTCGTCCGCAGTGTCGTAGCCGAAGTTGTACGGCTGCGGAGGCTGCACGCGCCGGCGAGAGCGCGTCAGGCTCCCTCTTCCGGAGTGCTCTCGCAAAACACATGGGAGAGCCAATCTACGTTCGGCCAATCACGGGGCTGATAATAAACCTCGAAAAACTATCTCTTTGCGGGAAAGAGAGGGAGAAATGTAGTGCAGAAGGGACGGTAAGGATCAAGACGAGAATCTCGTACAGAATATGGACTAAACTCCTTTGCGGGGTTCTCAGAACGATTAATCTTTGAAGTAAGTAACCTTCTCGGGCATCTGTCATCGTTCTTGTTAGTGCCAAATCCGGTATGCAACGAACGGTGGGATCTCCCCACCGGAACATAATAGGACGCAGAGAAGGACTGTGACGTTTTAACCACCACTTTCTCTGGTTCCCCTCGGAGCTTGTGGGGGCCCAGTCTGCCAGCCAGATCCTGACTGCAGTGAGCACTCCGTTCCCGGGAAAACCTCGTCGAGAGCTCGCCGTCCTTCGTGGGCACGGCCATTGCTATTCATCTATTTATTTCGCCTCCAGAAACAGGGGTGCACTTACGTAAACGGGATCGATGCTGGCCGCAGATCCTAGTAGCCTCGCACCTCCGAATCCCAAGCCAGATCCGAAGCCCCGGAAGCCGGGGTTGTTGAAGCGGTCGCCGGCGAAGGCCCCAACAGCCAGGCAGGCGAATGTGAGCTGGACAAAGGGCATATATACTGTATACAGTTACCCTGGACAAAACCAGGTTATTCTATTTTTTTTTTTTTTTTTTTTGCGATACTGCGGAGGTTGTTTGGCTTGGAGTGAATTACAGACGCAGTTATATGAGACCTCTTCGTAAACATTTTCTGTGTGAGATTCGCAGGTGGGTGGCTTGGAATCATTGCTCGAGTACAGCATTTTCAGACCCAACGCCTTAAGCCTAGAATTTAAGGCACCTCCGCTCTTCCTATGACGTCACTCGATGGGCCTGGCCGCCCGACATCTCTATTTTTCAGTCGTTCGGCAATGGCGACGGAGACTATAATCTCCGTCACCATTCCCTGTTTCTGACCTAACCAGGAATGATCCCGCTCGTGACAGTGTGTGCTCTGATGTGTACTGTGACGTGGAAGAAACATGCAACAAACGTGGGCCCCTGGGAATCTGCACATAAAGGAATTCGAGATCAGGATAAGTAGGAAACGGTTTCGATTAGGCCTCGTTTTGTTGGACTTGCAGGCGGCACTGAAGACAATCGCGTTGCTCGCGTCTGCGGTGCTCGCGGATTGACACGCTACCGGCACATCCGGGCACCTCGGACCACGCAACAACCCGCAGCTACGGCTTGCGAAGGGACGATGTTTTTGTCGGCTACTACGTTCTGCCGAGGGCATAGAGATAAACAGGAGACAACACACCACCTCACAGCCATGCCATCAGCGCCTCTGGGTCTCCGCCAAAAGCGACCGTCGCTTCTCCCAGTGCAGCTTGAATCTAACATGGCCGCCGTATAGCGTCCAATTCATATCGTCCCTTCGCTTTGAGATCGACTCAGAGTTGGCGTTGCACCTCGAGGGCGCGCGCTCCTTTGTCTCCCGTTTTCTGCAAACGACACGCAGGGTCCCATACCGCAGAGTTCATGCGAGAACGCCAGAGGAGCGATCTCGAGGTTCTCGCAGCCTGTCTCGTCTAATCGCAAACTTCTCGCCATTGGTTCGCCCCGCTGAAGGCAGACCTTAAAAGCACCTCCTGCAGGTCTGCAGAGTGCCGACCCGACGTCTCGCTAGTTCCTTCGTGGTGCCTTCCTCTTATACCATATTGGGCCGCTGTCTCTGCGTTTTGAAACCACAGAGCGTTCGGTCTTCGAGCCTCTTGGCCGACTACGGGAGCCGAGAGTCGACCTGACGCCTCGAATGACCCTGCGACTCGGCTTGCACTTTCCAATACACGGCTAAGAGCGTTGTCTTAGTCTCGGCACAAGGCATTATGCGACGGCTTCCCCGATAAAAGGCCTGCAGCGAAAGTCTTCCTCTACACTAGTACGAAACAGAAGTAAGCTTCGAACACCCGAAATTTGCAGTTTTATACTTCCGCGGAAAGCTTTCTGTAGATACTATGGGCGCACGCACGCGCACACCTTTAGCGTCCATCGAAGCTGTATACACCCACACTCTTCACTATACTTCTGGAAGTCCGCCAGTATAGTCACCGTACTTCAACATCAGTGTAGCTCTCCCGCTAAGCATAACAGAGACAAAATGCGGCAGAATGAAACGTACATATTATACGATAAAACAACGAACGAACTAAGCGACGGAGCTTTCTCGGGTGGTCGGGGTTGGCGAGCGGGCGCCGATGCTTACCTGAGCGATCATCGTGGGCGGCAGTGGACGTCTCGGGGTGGAAGTTTCCGGAGGCTCGAGTGAATGCAGCGGTGACGTGACGGAGAGAGCAGCGCTTTATACCGTCCGAGTCCTGGCCTACTTGGTGGGAGGCCCCCCCCTTCACGACTCTCGCGGCGGCTTCCTGAGTTTGCTTTGTGTTCGGACCTCGCCACAGATTCCTGGGCGCCGAGGGCAGCGGGGCCAGCGCTCACTTGCCCCATCGCTTAACGGCGCGGACACCGACGCCTTCGTGACCGACCGAATCGTCCGCCACGGCGAGCGTAACGCGCGTGAGGCAAGACGCTTCGCGTCGAGCGCCGGATCTGCATGAATTGGCGGTCTCTCGACCAACTTTGGGACGTTTGACGCTTGTCGAACGAATGAAGTGAGTGTGACACGCCCTGGCGAATAACTTCATGATAGGCTTTTTTCAGCGTGTAACCGAAAGCCCAGTTACACGACGCCTTCTGCACAACTCCTCCGTCAAAGTGCGGCTACGTCGGTCGGGGTTTTAAGCTGGAACCCCACCGTGCATGTTTTTATTTTGTGTATTCTACAGTAAAAAAAATTAGTGCCGAATTAAAGAACTGTTTTTAACTATACTTTAATTTCTCCATATTACGTTTATCCTTAGTTTCTTTATTATTTACCTTTTAATAGACCGCAGTCTCTAATATTGAACAATTTGTTTCTTGAGTTATTCCAGCGTCCACGATAATTTAAGTTAACTGTCCATTCAATATAGAAAGTTAAAAAGTAAGCAACAAACTGTACAGAAAATGTATATTTTAAAATGAAAAAAAAAGAAAAACTTTTAAATGGTAATATTTCCTCGCGCTATAGAAACGAAATCACGTCAAGTAAGAAAAATTACGAGAAATTACGACTCATCTTTCGATATTACATTTTCCAGAATCTGCATATCGATAGATAACACGCCAAGATTAGTATTGAATCCTAAACTTTTCCCATTCAAATACAACAAGTTGTAGTCTTTTTTTTTTTTTTAATCTCCAATACAGATGGCGACACGTGTTCAGGAATAGCTTGATTTTGCATTTGTCGCCGTGTGCCGCTTGGAACGCCACGTAAAGGCCTGTTCACACATGCAGCGGAGCGCTACATACATAGCGCTGACCTCGCGCTAAGCTCGTGCTGACGGGTGCGTTCACCAGGTTTGTATCGCACCGTCAAAACTTGCTCATGGCAGACGATAAGTAGCTGACGACACGTTAGGAGCGCTACATCAGCGCTTCGCCGCATCTGAGAACCGGCCTCAAGACAGAAGTGGCGCCAGATGTTTGGGTGTCAGATGCCTGCCGCAGCGCGCGAGGTAGAGATGCTAGAAGAACAAGCGCGAGGCCAACGTTCCGCGAGGCTGAGGGTGGACCACAGCAGCTTTTGCCCGTGGTGTACTGTGCATCAGATTGCGGTGGCTATAGAAGGGAAGGCATCAGCATCGGCGTGCGAGAGGAGCAGCCGGTCAGGATGCAGCGGTGGCGCTACCGTCGACACTGAGATGCGGCGTTCGCTCGCGTCCGCTGCCATTCGGCTGATTTCGTGTTGCGGCCGGAAGCGGCAACCCTGGCGAGAGCCGCCAGCCTTCTTCCGGCAAAGGAACAAAGGTCGTCGACGCGCGACGCCATCATGCCGACTAGGGTCGGACGACTGTAACCTGGACCCTAACAATGTATTCACGTTTCTCATCTCCTATAAAGAACCCGTGTTACAAAGCGTTGTGTTTCCTGACGCGCTAACATTTCGTATACCCGATTCCCACGGCCAACGTAGAGGTACTTTTAACATAGGTCTCTTTGCAATCAGCGTGTCAACCCGCACTCTTGGGCCGCGAGCACACACCACGCGCGGAGAAACGCGGACTGATCTTCAACGCCGAGAATAAAGTTCCCTTAAGTAAAGGTGCCTTTATGATCGCGTGGATCGGGTATTACTCCTAGAGCAAGTATCACGTGCGATGTGCGCTCCTTAAAATACATTTATTCATTTATTTATTTATTTTAACACCCTCAAGGCCCATAGAACATTACCGAGGGGGTAGGAGTTAACTCAAAAATACAACATGGAAAGCAGTGATGAAAATACAAACAAATCGATGAGTATCAACACGAGTGATTAGTTAGTGCTGCTTTAAACAAATCAAGTTAAGTAATGGTATAGTTCCTAAAGATTCTTGAAGGTGGTTCCACTCAGAAGACGTTCTTGGTATGAAGGAGTTGTTGTACGCTGATGTTTTACATTGGAGAATGCCGACCTTGAAACGATGGTCGATGCGTGAAAAAATGTGAGTGGTTAAGGAATAATTATTTTTTTTTATAGGAACGTTAAAGTGATAAATTTTGTAGAAAAGACCAGGACAAGATATGTTTTCATTGCAAAAAAAAAAAAAAAAAGAGGCAGAAACAAAGAGGCTTTCATAGATGATACACTGGCGGTGCGATGATAGCTATAATAAATAAAACGTACTCCGCCATTTTTGCAGAGCCTCTATAGGTTAGTCACAAGCGTTGTATGTCCGGGGTCCCAGGTAGATGAGGCGTGCTCTATTTTTGATCAAACTAGAGTTTTGTACAGAAGTAACTTTAGTGATATTGGGGCTAAAGAAAAAAAATCTTTTTAGATATCCGAGCATAGCGTTAGCGTTAGCGATAATATGATCAGTATGGGTTTTTTTTTATGAAACGTTAGAAGTAATGTAAACACCAATATATTTATAAGACGTCACGGACTGCAGTAGAGTGTTAGAAATTGAGTATGGTGAAATGGACGTGTTCCGACGCGAAACCCACAGGGATTTACATTTGTCAATGATAAGTCATTTTTCCAAAACTTACGCCATTCGGATACAGCACACATGTCTCATTGAAGTAGTGTTGAATCAGATTCGTTAGTTATTTCACGATAAATTACGCAATCATCAGCAGAACAAATGAAAGCCGTTTACAATTCCCTGTAACACTGGATTAGAGCGCAGCTCTTGAGGAGGAGGATGGAAGCGTATTGAGGGATAGGTGAGTCCTTGATGTCACGTGACCTCGGGGGGAGGGGGGGCGTGAGCTCGGTGGGAGAGGGTTACGTGACCTCACGGGGGTCACGCGGCCTCGCGATGTCGCGTGACTCCTATGAGGTCACGTGACGATCGTCATCAGTGACGTCTCCGATGACGTCATCATCACTAGCGACGTCATCAGTGACGATGACGACGACGATGCGGATGCCGATGACGTCATCAGTGACGTCACGCGTCCCATAATGCACCGCGCGGTTACGCCGACGGCGACGCCGACGCCTCTCAAGCCGGAAACGGGCGCCTGAGAGCTGCGCTCTAAAACTAATTGAGGATGATACACACATTGGTAAGTCATTTATGTAAATAAAGAACAAAAGAGCCCCTAAAACGGACCCCTGTGGAACACTAGAGGTGACAGGACCAAGGGAAGTATTAGTTTAGTTAGCCTTGACATACTGAGATCGATTAGTTAAGAAACATGAAATCCACGACCAAATATTGACATCGATGTTAAGTTAGCAAAGTTTA